ATTACATTATTTCAAAATAAAACTTCCCGTGTTTTCAACACGTAGCCTAACATATACCATTTTTGGAATCAGGCCGACTCCATGAGTAAATTAAAAACATTCCCAAGTTTTCATTACTGCGATTGTTGTCGGCGGGTTTTTTTTACGACGATTTCTTTTTGTACGATAAGAATTTTTATAACATTGCATCTACTCCTCCTTACCTATAGCGATGAAGGCCCAATCAACAGCCCTTGCAAGATCTTGCTTAAATGCCATCCGATAGGGCCTCTCTTAAGCTAATATATATATATATATATATATATATATATATATATATATATATATCAAGAACAATATTGGTAAAAAAAAGTGTGAAAAAAAAGTTTCGAGGACGCGTCTTGTTCTTTTAAACTTCATCAGAATATATTGTTTGTATTGGGATACTGCGAATTTTATTTTATTTATAATTTAACCGGGTTCATATAGATTTTTTCTTTTTTTTTCTGCCCTGTCGCTTGGAAGATTTCCCCATTACTATCAGAACTTCTATTATCATAGTGTGTGATATCTAATAACAATAGTGATGGATAGAAATAGAAAGTGGACATTAAATTCAACACCCAGAGACGACTACTTGTTTCATGGGAAAGGCAATCGTCAGGCGTGATTATTGCATTTAGTATGAAACAGGCTATCGCGTCTGGGGGTTTATTTCAATGACCACTTTTATATTTACATACGGTCGATCCATGATACTGAGAACTTTAACCCATAATAACGCCCAAAAACAATTATACAATATATATATATATATATATATATATATATATAGTCGGCCGATGAAAGAAATTCGAGAGATATAAAACAACAAAATTTATAATAATTTCAATAAGACTAATAATATTCACTGTATGTTAGTCGGCCTTTTGGCCAAATGGAAACATGAGAAGAAAGATGTTAGAAATGGAAATTTTTAAAACAGATCTATGGCCTTTCTGAACGAGTAGATTTGGGCTAGTTGCTTGGCCCATTTAGGGTAGTAGATAGCTTCCAGAAGGATTTTTGGGGAACTTATATTCATTGATCATGCCTAAATTCCTTTTTTAAAGCTAGAATATATATATATATATATATATATATATATATATATATATATATATATATATATATATATATATAATAAAAAAAGCTTAAACACTAATATTCCATGGTCATAATTTATTCCATTGGAATCGTAAATACGATCAATTCATCAGACCTACAAATTCAAAAAGAAAACAGAAAAAAAAAACCAGCTCCGGAAATAAAAACAGAATTTAGAGAGTGTAAGTATGAGGAGGAGGGCGATTTCTTTTTTGAATTTGTAGGTCTGATGAATTGGATCGTATTTACGATTCCAATGGAATTAATTATGACCATGGAATATTAGTATTTTAAGCCTTTTTATTATATCCTTACTCTGTCCTAGACATTGAGTTCTACCTGGATTCTTCCTCTTGAAATTTTTTTTCTGAAAATATACATGTATGGGTATTTATATATTTTGCATATGTCTGTATATTTTCCACTAATATTATCTGTCTATCTATCTATCTATCTATCTATATATATATATATATATATATATATATATGTGTGTGTGTGTGTGTGTGTGTGTGTGTTCATGTCTGTGTGTGTGCGCGCGCGCGCGTGTGTGTGTTTGTGTGTATGTGTGTCTGATAGAGAGAGAGTACACAGAGTACCACTTGTAGTTCGTACCATCTGACCGGAGTAAAAAGATAAAACAGTAAAAGAATGTGGAAGATGCAATAAATTTTTCATTGGGTTCCATGGTCGAAGGATTTTGGTGAATTTCACACTGAGGTCAATAACATCGAACTATTCAAGTGTATATATATATGTATATACACCGGCTGTAACGGCAAAATTGTCCAAATCGTGTAACAGCATAATTGTCCATTCCACAAAATGTTTAATGTTTAAAAACAACTAAACTAATTTAGTTTGTTTTTTCTAGGTTTTCAGATAAGACGTTTAGCCATGTTGAAGCCATTTGTCAGCTAGGAAGAGAACAGATTAAAAATATTTTCTTTCAAACCCTCTGTGTTCTCAATTGAGCAAGGGTGAAAGGAAAAATGGCATTCCGGCCTTCAGCAATGGTACCAACATTCATTCTCTGGTTTCCATTTTCAAAGTCCATTCAAGAACCATCAAGAAAACGGTGAATAAGTTTTAAAAAGTGGGATCAGAAGGTCACAACATCGAGAGGGATCATCATTTCAACTTCAAATTTAAAGAGATCAATTAGAAAAGATCCAACACAATCCATAAGATTTTTGGTACGTGAGATCAGAATTTCACCTATGAGAGTCCAAAGAACCGTGAAAAAATATTTGAAAATGAAATCGTGCGTGAAAGCTCTGAGGCCCCTTGTTACTCCAGGACATAATGTTAGAGATGGCGAAGATCATCTTGAATAAGTTGGAAAATTATCCTGGTATAATATATATATATATATATATATATATATATATATATATATATGAACTTTATCTCCATCTATCATGAGCTTCCGATCCTTAGCTGTGATTAATTAATGATGAACATGTCATTTTCGTTTATGATCGATTCCATCACGATTCTTCTGTTAAGCTTGAAGAGTAATTATACATTCTTCTTGTTCAAAGCAGAATCCAATAGTTTTATAAAAACACCATGACACGTAAACTATTTCCCCATTACATGTTCATGAAAATATCATTTAACATCAGAATGTGTGCAAACAGAATGCATACATCTACCAGTATGCCTTACTGTAGGTAACAGTTACTGACATAACAAACAAATGACATAGTAAACAAATAATAATAATAATAATAATAATAATAATCCAGAAACGATTGATCATCTTGTATCAGGTTGCACGGTGTTGGCACCCACTGAATATAAAACCCGACATGACAGAGTGGGCCAATATCTGCACTGGAAAATCTGCAACTTCTACGGGAAGGAAACTGAAAGAAACTGGTATGAACACCACCCAGAGCCGGTTATGGAGATAGGACCTGTTACAATTCTATGGGACTACACAATACACACTGACAGAACAATCAAGGCCAACCGGCCAGATATTGTTATTAAAAACCACAAACAAAAACGGTGCCTCCTTATTGATATGGCAGTCCCTGCTGGCTGCAATGTATCTTTAAAGATATTCAAAAAGTTGTCAAAATACAAGGACCTTGAAATAGAAATCTCGTAAATGTGGCATATGGGAACATCAACAATCCCTGTTGTAGTTGGAGCCCTAGGACTGGTTGAAAAAGATTTCAGTAGACTAATTGAAGGATTCCTGGAAGTCCATGCCTCAAGGAGATACAAAAAATTGTTCTGACAAGTACAGCCCACACCTTTACGAAGGGCTTTATCTATGTAATTTAATTTTTTTTTTTTTTTTTTTTTGTCAGTGGAAAGTGTCATGACGCCATTTCTAAACTTAGGTACCTGGGCGGGACCCGGAAAGAAATGTGTAAACGCCAGAAATCAAAGAAAATAATAATAATAATAATAATAATAATAATAATAATAATAATAATAATAACGTTTATTTTCGGAGATTGAGTTGTTCCATGATCATCAACGCTCTTTAGAGACATGGATGACATGGAAGAATGGGAATTTTTTAGCTATGTTGGTTATGATTAGGAAAAGATGACTTCCAAAATCTAAACCAAATATGAAGAAACAAGAAATTTTCGTTAGAATCAAAGAAAAGACTAATGAAGTCATATTTGATATCAACCCTTCTTATAAGATGCTGGACTATCTTCCAGCAGATGAAGAGAAAACTGGAGGAAGCATAAATGTGCTTAGTTAGAGCGTATTACAAATGAGGAAGTTTTAAAGAAAATATGAAACGAAAAGAACAATTATTCTCCGAATCAGAAAGAGACAGTGGACAGTTGCACATAATGAGGAAAGAGGGTTTGGAGAACTTGACCCTCACATGACATACCGACAGCAAGAGAGATAAGAGAAGGCATAGTGAACAAACTAAACGAAGAGATTGTGTGGATAGATGGTGGAACGGGGTGGGGGTAGAAGGAGGCTTCGCAAAAAAAAGGAAAAAGACGTTGCTATAGGGCAACAAGAGAGAGGAAGCTGTGGACAGCCATCATCGCCAACTTCCTGAAGTGACATGATAAATAGAAGCTCTATAGCTTTGTTCGTAATGCACACACCTCATTCTTTCTTTTATCGATATCACTAAATGACAAAAACTAGCTTACACCCTTACCCGACCATTTTTCTTGTCTGCTTTTCACCAAACTGCATTGCGTCATTCTTTTGTGCCATTTGTTTTCTTTTCTTTTTGTTTTTCGCTCGTTTTTTTTGTTTCATCTTTTGTTTGTTTTTTTGTTTTCAATTTTCATCCACGCTGTCAAAATGAGAGAAAAAGTAAATGAATAAAATAAAAGGAATACTTTCCAAAAAAGAAAGTACGCCCGCGTATTCTGTTCTTTAATTATTACGCCTGTGCCTGATTGTGAGAGTGCGTTGTCAAAAAGAGAAAGAGAGGGATGAATCGCTGAAAGCGTCTTGTCTGGCCGAGATAACACGCTTTCTTCATTTGCTTCGGGCCGCTAATCAACGCAGCTAGAACAGCTATTGTCACTACGAAGTGACTCCAATCATCGGTTCAGCAATGAGAACCTGATCAATTATTTATGCTTGCGACTTATTTTGTGTATATATAGATGGCTACAAATATTTGGTGGTATTCAATTATATGTGTACGTTTGTTGGATTGCACTTATGTAAGAAAACATTTCCATATTTGGGGTTTTAGCATACTCGTAATTCTTTCTTTATTTCGCTCCAAACGAATATGGGCCGAAATATCATCTTGTCATATTCATGAAGCGAATATCAATGCTTTCCTATTAGTGAAGGGCAGATGTGATGGTATATCACTAGAAGCCTTATCCAAAATAAATTTTCGTATACCAGTGGACGCCATGGGAAACGTGGACGCCATGGGCAACGTAGACGCCATGGGCAACGTGGACGCCATATGCAATGCACTGAAAGTAGGTCGTAAAATAAGCATTGGCGATGTAAGTTTTATCTTACTTTCAAATATATATATATATATATATATATATATATATATATATATACAAGGGAGAGGAAGCTCTGGACAACCACCATTGCCCACGCCCGGAATATATATATACAAAATAGAATCCAAAATCACCTCATAAGGGGAATAAGCTTATTTTAACCGACGAAAAAATAAAATTCGTCATTCTTATTCAACCACCAGTAAAGTCTACACCAGGATTGAATAAGACTTATGAATTTTATCTTTTCGTCGGTTGAAATAAGCCTATTCCCTCTATGAGGTGATTTTGGATTTTATTGTGTATTAATTTCTGCTCTGCAATAATAAATACATTGAGCTCTTTTCTGTGGATCAGTTTTAATATCTTAAATTACTAGGATACGCTTGGATTATATACCAATAAATCTATTACCTTTACTATATACATATATATACATATGTATATATATGTATATATACATATATATATAGGATGTGATTGGTAAATTGTCGCCATTGATATATTTTAATACGTACATGCGCGTTGTTTGTTTTTGTTTTCAGTTGGGCACCGACTGTAAGATAAAGAGCAGCATAATGCAATTCACTTCGCTAGAAATTTGGAAACGGTATGCTGTACTGCTTGGCATTTGCGCTGGAACATCTAATACGAACATTTCAGAGTATTTGGGTGTTATTCCGAAGACAGTGCATAGAATTCGGAAAGAGTTAGATGAATCTAATGGATATTACGAATGTACGGCAGCTCGAAAAACTCACTCTCCTTGCTCCGATAAGAAAAAAATTCCCGAATTTGCTGGTAAGGTCTTCAGTCTCAACACACAGCCCTACATCGTGGTTTCATGAGGTAATGTTGCCCTGGGTCTAGAGGTTGTCTGTTGGAAGACCCTATGTCTAGCAACAGGACTTTGCACCATGCCAAACAAGCAGGAGAACCCAGTCATGGCTGTCAGACAATTTATGCGACCACATCACCCCATAAGCACTGCGCTTTAATCAGAACAATTAAAATGAAAATATTTATCGAAAATTCAAATGGAAACAAATTTACCGGTCTTCTTATATAACAGGGAAAGTTCAACATATATATATATATATATATATAAAATATAAAAATGAACATAGAAGTCAACACTTAGAGGCGACAGTCTGTTTCATGCTATATGCAATCGTCAGGCCCATATGTGCTGACGTCAGAGCACACGTGGCCTGACGATTGCATTGAAGTGTTGACTTCTATGTTCACTTTTATATTTACACACGCTCTATCTCTGATATCGAGCACTTTATCCGATAAATATAGCACACCTTAAGACTATATTTCTTTATATATATATATATATATATATATATATATATATATATATAGGGTACGTAATTTTTAGGGTATAATACGCAGTTTTTTCCCAGATTGTGTGTATTTTACACAAGAACTAAATCTTAACTTTTTCTCAGTGTCGCCCTTTGCTGAACAGTATTACTGATCGATTTATTATTTTATGTGCCGTGTTCCTTTGGGGCGCGAGCGATCGCGGCTTTCCACAGCTTCCTTTCCTTTGCAGCTCGAAGTAAGGCTTGCCTTTTTGCTATATCTCCAATACCTATCCTGCCAACAATTTACAGAGGCTTGCTGTGTAGATAATTGGCATCTTTCCTTTTTACTTCTTACCTTCAATATATTCTTCAAATTCAGCTAGGCCTCTGTTCTTGCTATTCTCAATAGCCTTCTTTAGAATTACATTTCTGTTGTTTAATGTCTCTTCTTCGTCTATGAAGAGATTTCTAAGAATTCCCTGCCATATTGGAAGTTTGGCATTTCATAACATTCAAATCTTTGACCCTAACGTAGGTTTCCTGTGTCTTAATACTTTGCTTACTTCCTTGTGCAAATTAACTGAAACAAAACGAATAATTACGTTCTCATTTACTAATTTTCGTATTTCTCCAATGAAACATGACCCAGTGCACATGTTAGTACTTTGTATGTCCATTCCAGGAAGTCGTTTCTTGCAGACTGACCACAGATTCTTGACTGGATTTAAATCAGGAGAGTTTCCGTGCCAATCTAGTAGTTTGATTTGTTCACTGGTAAGGCCTGCCACTGTGCTCATGCAGCGTTACAAGTTTTCGTCTGCTTCCTTGGAGTAACGTCCATTACAGACAATGGCCGTCGGACAACTAATCAGCAAGCAGGACAATAGTGTCAGGATGTGATAAAAATCTGATGCAATCACAGATGACGCAATATTTTGAAAAACCAAACAAATTTCAACCTCGAAAATAGATTCATATTATTGTAAACCAGTGCAAATGACCTAATCTGAGGAATAAGTAAAAGTCGGTTCCTCCCTGTCACTCTAGTGGGTCTAAAATTAACAGTATGGCCAAAAAAAAAAATAGGAAGCTAAAACGGTAGTTTCAATTAATTTGAACAAAGATGTAGATCTTGGAAGATTGTTTCAGATTGTGGTGCCACATTTTATATCCTCTATTAGAACAATTCCGCCATATTTAAATTTTTAAACTTGCTTGATTTAGTGATCTCTAATCTATAGTTTACATCTTAGGCTTTTCCTTTTACCGGCAATTCGCTTTCTTACAACTGATGCTTAGTCATTTCTTCTCTCTTTCCTTTACTACCTTCTGTTGGAGTTCCTGTAGTTTAATTTCAATCTCTACTATCGACACTATGTTATTTGTATATCTTACGTTGTTAAGATTGCGGCCGCAAATAATGAATCCTGGTAGGACTTCTAATTCTCTCATGATCGCCTCTTTGTAAGGTTGAAAAGATCTGGGAAAAGATATATCCTTGTCTTAGGCCACTTTCTAGTTATTGTGTATTTACTGAATGAATTGTTTATCTCTCTGTAGGCGGTTTGCTCCCAGTAAATATTCTGGATTATTCTTATAGCTTTTTCCAATTAAATTAAGCTTAACTAGATGTTCAAACATTTCTTTGTGGCGTAGTTTTTTCAAACGCTTTTTCATAAGTATGTTTTATATTTGGTTCAAAATAATTAATGTGTAAAAGAATTTAAATCCTTAAACAAACATTGCAATTTTTTTTACAAAGAAATACATAGTCTGTTTCACTGTAGTCCGTATCAAACCTCGTCGCCATAACTGTTTTCAGCGTTGGAAATGACTTTGTTATCTTCAATGTAGTTCTTGTGGCCGTAGTCTAAAGAGTTATCTTTTCCTTCTTTAAAACAGATGTTATCTTCACTGCCGTCCAGTGCAGTTTTAATGCGACTTTATTATTTGAATTGAATTGCCACAATGAATGTAGGGATATTCGGGGATTTTTTTTGTTATTTCTAATACGGTACGTAGATGTAGCACTATTGTTTCTGTTTTAAACCGCTACAACAAAATAGCCAGTAGCCATTGTAATGCCGGTTTGATTAAAATTTTGTTTCGCCTATTTCGGGTATATTTTTGCTATTGTCTTGTACGTTTGTGTCGATATTTATGCGTTTGGTCCAAATAAAATTTGAACAATTAGTAAATTTAGGTTAGATTTTGCTGTTTCAAATTCTAGAACGTCAATGTGTATTTCTAGAATTTTGTAGACCAAATTAAGTTGCGTATTATATCCGACTGCGTATTAAACCCAATTATGTATCTTGTATGACTAATTATGGTTTTCTTTTCCATTGTAAAAACTAAGGTTTCAGTTCTGATCCCGCGGTTTTATTCCTTATCTTTCTTCAATTTACAGTACCTTCTTTTTTTGTTGTGAGAGCAAGAAGAAGGGACTAAGCATAAACTACAAGAAGACAGAATGCATGGTCATCAATAAATGGATGAACCCGAAATGCGATTTACTGATCGGGGATATTAATATCAAGCAGGTGCGGAAATTTAAATATCTGGGAAGTGTTTTGACAAAGAACGGTAAGTGCGACGCTGAGATTCGAAGACGTATTAGGATGGTCAAGGAAAAGCTGGGCTGAGTATTGCGAGACAGGAGGATTCCTTTGCTCACAAAGAAAAGAGTATTGAACTGTTACGTGACATTTCTCCTCCTTTACGGCAGCGAATGTTGGGTGGTCTCCTCAAAGATGAAGAAGAGACTCGAAGCGGCGGAAATGTGGTTCTACAGAATGATGCTGAGATTTTGGACCGAGCGTTTGAGCAACGATTAGGTCTTGGAGAGGATGCAAACAAGGAGGAAGCATATATACCTAAAATCAGGAAGAGACAGATGATATTTCTGGGACACTTAATGAGAAAGGAGGACCTGGAGAATATGATATTCACAGGTTGAATAGAGGGAACGAGAGACAAGGGAAAGCCACACGTGACATACCTGGCGGGCTTCAGTACGTGGATGACAGAACGTGATATGGTGAAAGTAGCAAAGGGAAAAAAGTTATTGAGAGCTACAAAAGATAGGAGGAAGGGGAGAGCCATGATCGCTACGTCCTGAAAGGACACGGCACATAAAAAGAAAGATGCATCGCTTTATTCTTCGAACTTATTGTCATATTATCGGTATGATAATGTTTAATCTTTCTGTTTGTTCTTTTTACGCGTTATTTTTCGATTGTAATCATTATAGTTATTTTTCCTCTCTTAAAAGCGAAACTTCAGCTCGATATCAAGTCATTTCCTATTTATAAGATTGATATAATAATAATTAGCAAATAAAAATGGGATATTTATCTGTAATCAAAAGATAGTGTCTTTTATCTTACAAGATAAAGGTGTGCTTATTTCACATTATTGTATGTTGTCTTATAAATAATTTCCATAATCTACATTTCTCCTCGGCTTTCTTGTTATTATGAAAAAATTTTGGCTCATCCATATGCTGGTTAAAACACGGCTAATGTCCTCCAATTAGATTGCTCGCTCTGGTCGTGAATACGTGGTCCTTGTAGTTTATCTGAGGAACCCTTATTCACAAGCCAATCCACGAGTCTGTTATCCCGTGTGGCAATCTTAATTGGAGAACTTGGAGCCGTAAACCTGACCCGTCTGCTGATGAGTTGCGTTTGTGTATATTACTTTATTCCCAAAAAAAACATCTAGAACAAGTCAATGTTTCATTGAATGTCAAGGGGATAAAGTCTATTAACTGTAAAAAAAAGAAAATGCATGGTTTTCTGCAAAAGATTCAGCCAAAGATGTTAGCTATATATTGGGAACATGAAAATTCATGAGGTATATAAATATAGATATCGGAATAGTGTAGTTACAGACGAAGGAAGCCGTGACACAGAAATCCAGAGGTAGAGAAAATGTCTTCCTTCTTTCGTCCTTAACCCCGGGCGCCGACGTCCTGATCTGTCCCCCATCTGTCGTGGCTGTGTGCCAGAGCCTGGGTTTCCCCAAATGATTTCTTGGTGTACTCATCATGTGGCGTGTCGTGGGCGTTTAAACCTGGTGGAGCCAATTCCTCTCATTGTTAGACCATAACTAGGTTGCTTCGCTTTGGTCGCGAACATGTGGCTTTTGTACTTCATTTGAAGAACCCTCTTCCTCTGGTCGTGACCTGCGCCGAAGAAATTCCTGCGTCAACTGGTGCCGTATTAACACCACCCCCTGAAACAGTTTACCGCCGGGGCATGGCAACTTAGAACCATCACGTGAGAGATTTAGGAGATAGTTGAATCCCAGTGATGCCAGCCCACCCGAATTAAAGTATTAAGAGATAAAAAAAATCATATATATATGATATGTCCCGGAAAGGGATATATTTGTTCGAAGTAGCAAAGTGGTTTTCGACGACTGTAACCGGGTAGGACAATCTAGCAGGTAACCGTAATGGACTGGTCCTCGTCGTAGTGGTAGGAAACAGGTGAAGACAATAGGCGTCGTCAATAGGCGTCGACAATAGGCATCGTTCATGTACCTCCACATCAGTCTGTATTTATAGCTGACACCAGCCAATCATATTACTGTGAGGTGGAACCCAGGTGTATGCATATTCATCACATCACAATATATATATTATTTTGTATTTGCTGTACTTAGCGGTCAATATCAGGGATAGAGCTAACATATTCAGTTGTACGGATATGAGTTTCTGATCCTGGGTTGTCTGATGATCGCAAAAGCGTGAAACCCAAAGTTACAAACTTATATCCATACAACTATATATATATATATATATATATATATATATATATATATATATATATATATTAAGGGTATTTATGAAGATTTTTTTTTTCATTTATGCACGTTTGATTAAATGGCAACGAAATTTCGTGGACGATTACTTTTAATTTGCTTTTACAATGTTTCTAATCATTTTCGGATTTCCGGTTCGTATTTATAAATATATCTTCCTATATCCATTATTAGGAACTGCGATGTAATATCTAATTTCCTAAATGGTCAGTCAGTGAGTCATTTGTATGCCATGCGTAATAAACGCTTAAAAAGATACATGACTGACGAGGCAGATTTCTTCCCGAAGTAGGTTACCATTTCTTTTTGCAGTAGACCAGTTGCCATCCAAGCCAACACCCTTTGTCTTATTTACATATAGCTAGAAGAAGAGGATTCATACTTTTCCCAAGGGTATTAGTACGTAAGGGAATATAATGGATTCAACTGGAATTTGAAGTCTGCTCTCCGATTCCTCAATCTGAGCCGCTATCCATTACTCCACCGTAACTTAATGGCTTCTGCTGACGAATATTAAGACTACCATAGGCAGAATATATCAGAAACGAAAACATTTGAAAGAAATAGGAACTACAAAGTATTCGATCTCTGGGGTACGTAATGTGGAAGATATGCTTGGAGAATCTAACATTCCCAAGACAAATTAAATGCAAATTGGATGTTAAAATGACAGAGGCATCAAAGTACATGGCTCCAAAGAGAAGAATATTAATATAGCAAGTAAGCTATGAATTGAGTTTCAAATATTTTTATTGGGCATTGAGCCGACACAAACATCGATATAATGTCTCTCTTTTTGTTTTGTTTTTTTGTTTTTTTTTTTGTTTTGTTTTTTTTGCTGAGCTACCGAAATAAATAACGATCGGGTCATTATATGATAGATTTAATGTAGTCCATCTAAAGCAGAGACTCACGTATGTTTAAAAGAGACAGAAATGTAATTGAAATGAGACAAATTACAACGAAATCAATTTCGTCTACAATAGCATTGTGTTCAAATACGCGATTTGCAATCACGTCATCTCCGACAATTTTCTTCCTACACTCTTTAAGCCACTTCTTAACTTCAAAGTCTGACGTTGTCAATACGTTTTACAAACTCTTTTATTTATTTACCTAATCGAAGTTTCGAATTTCACTCATGCTGGCTTACCGTCACTTCAGCATTTCTGATTCTGACTACGTTGAATTAAAACATGAATGATATATATGATGAATGATATATATATATGAATGAAAACGTTTCCAGCGTTCTTGTTTTAAAACTATAACCTCAATACAAAAGTGTATGATTTATTGGAAACAAACACGCATAATATATATAAGGAAAACATTTGTTTGTAAATTATATATATATATATATATGTGTGTGTGTGTGTTGTTTAAAGTTTGCAATATTTAATGGGAGATAGGATTCAGTATCGTAGATAGAACGTTTATACATATCTTACTCTTTCTTTTCCACCTTAATCTTTTTCCTTTTTCTATCTACATTGCTCTTCTTTCTTTCTTTCCTTGTCATTCTTTCTTGCTCTTTTTCTTCTACTTCTCTCACTTCTATCTTATTTGTTTCTTTTGTTTTCCTATCTTATTCTATTTCTTTTGTTTTAATCATTTTCTTTCTAGCTTACTCATTTTCCTCTTTTCCATCTTGCTCTTTGCTTCATTCTTTTCTCTCTTCCCCTCTCTCTCTCTCTTTGTACTTGCCCTTTTTTCTCTCTATCTTACTCGTTTTTGCTAATTTTTCTAACTCTTTTCTTCTTTTTCTCCCGATTTTTCTTTCTACTTTGCTCCCATTTTACTTTTTTCTCTCTCTCTTCCTTTCTTCTTCTTCTTCTTCTTGTTATTAGTCTAACTATTCTACTAAACGATTCTTCTTTTTTCTTCCGAGTCTAATCTTTTAATATTTTCTTTTTTTTATTAACACAACCCGCTTAATACGCTTCGCTCTTATTAATCAAACTCCATTTCCCTTCTCTCTCTTATCTTTCGTTTTCACTTCTCCTTCCCATTGTGTCTTTCTCTCCTTTCCACTTACCTACATTTGCACGCCTGCTCTCACCCACTCTCATTTACATTCTACTATACTTCTTCTCACCATTGGAACAATTCTCTTTCATTTATCTAATTCCCTCCCTACACCTAGCATTTAACTATATTCTGTCTCTTTGTCTTTGTTCCTCTTCTCTCACTGCTTTTCTATCAATTTACCTACTCATCTATATTCTCTAATTTCACTTTCACTTTCACTTTTACTCTTTATCATACCCTGTGCTCTTTCCTACATTTATCCCAATTTACTCTCTTTTTCTATATTCTCTCCTTTTCTCCTTCTATTTTCCTATTCTCTCCTCTCACTGTGCTCAGATGTTCCTACTTTTCTACCAATTATCATATTTCAGTCTCTCCATTCTCTTTCTGTATGTACCACTGTATCTGTGACCACTACACATTCTTTCCATATTCTGTTTCTCTCTCGCCCACTCTTTTTCTCAGCTCAGTCCTCTTTTTTCTCTCGATTTACCCAAACTGCTTCTCTTCTTCTTTTTTCTGTGTACTTACACTTACCCTATTTTTTCTTCAAATTTCTTTACACTTCCTATATTCCCACCTTTTCTTTCTCTCATCTTTTCTTCGTGCTCACTTTTCCTTGCTTTTCCTCCAAAATACGAAATGTCTCTTTTTCCTATTTTATCTCCCTCTGAGGTCAGATTCTCTCAATCTAACCACTCTTTATTTATTTTTCTTTTTTCTTTTTCTCTCTCCCTCTCTTTATGCTCTTCCCCATTTTACCACCCCCTTTCTCTCTCTCTCTCCTTCTTTCTCTCTTTGCTCCCGTCTTCCCTACTTAACTCTCAAATAATTAACTCTTCCAATATTCCCCCATTCTCCCTTTGTTTTCCTCTCCCCCTCTCTTTGTACGAACACTTTCTCTATTTCACCACCCTTCATATATCGCCTCCATTTCTATCCCTCCCCTCGATCTGCTCACTCTTTTCCTATTTTTTGAAACGTATTCGCTCTTCATATCTTCCTCTTTTCTCTCTCCCTCCCCTCCCCCTCTCTCTCTCTTTCTTTCTTTCTTTCTTTCTCTTTCCTCACGCTTTCTCTATTTTGGTCCCAAGTTACCCACTCTTTCGACTAAGCACTTATGGATTTATTGTTTTACAATTACTTTTTCTCTTTGTTATCTATCAGCATCCACGCTTAGCCTCCTACACGCCATTATTCTTATTCCGTCTTTTGCCGGCTCTTGTTTTTCTGCAACTCACACTCCAATACTCATAATCTCTCTGTTCTTTCTGACACGATGTTTCCCGAATAAAACCTCCCACTTCAATAACTGCTTTCTTTTTTTTTCCTGACGCTCTCCCCGTGTTTTATCTCACTACCCATTCTCCCCTATCTTTAAAATTACCTTTTGTTTCACCTCCTACACATTGTCTTTCTCCCATGATTTTCTCCCTTTCCCATTCCCCCCCCCTCTCTCTCTCTCTCTCTTTATTTACTCTTTCGATCAATCTCTCGTTCACATCTGCCTTTTTTCTTGTCTTCTGATTTTGCTTAATGTCATTCTTTTGTTCCCCGCCTTTCCTTGTCTTTTCTTACCGTCAATACAGAATTTCTTTTTCTCTTTCGCAATTATTGATGACAGAACTACATTTTTCCCAAGATGGGTGAACGCCTGCATTGCTCATTAAAATTCTCGATACATACATAGAGTTTACATTATCAATGGCAGTCGATCAATATTCGATGACAGAGGCTTCCTCTTGAAGAAAATAGTCGACACAAAAGATTTTTGTGTTAATGAGTAAGCGTTGGTGGTGAATAGATTTTACTCTCTTTTCAGTCAAACTAAGCTATTCAACCAGTCAGTCTCGTTGGTGGCGAAAACTATTTTAAAGGTTTGGGATGTTCATCATAATTTTCTAGAAGAGACATTGCTAGATAGGTAACTAAAGTGATTTATTTACTGTGTAGCCAATAGTGTCAACACAGCAGATATACATTTTACTCTCTTAAAAAAGGGGGATATCTACACTAAATATAAGGTTTACAGTAAGGGCACTTCGATGTTCCACATCTAAGAGACGCTTAGAAAATCCTAAGGAGACTTCAACGCCCTGTAATGATTAGCAAACGTGTTTCGTCAGATCAATTACGACTGAGTGCTCTACATTTTTCGTCCATGTGTCCTACGCTTAGAAAATCATTTAGATCAATTTAACGTGTTGTATTGGTTAGCAAAGTTGTTTCGTCTGAGTCGTGATTCGATTCTCTTTGGGTGCTCCACACTTTCGGCCTTGTGCAACATCTAAGTATAAATCACTATAATTTTTACGGTAATACGAAATAATTTCGAGTTGAAAATAATCCATTTATTTCTTTAAAATGACTTTAGTTACATTTTCGGTACGAAAATAAGTTAGGGGATATAAGATTTGAAAGGTCCCAATGATAGTATGTACATTCATTTAAAAGGGTAATTGCGCCATGCTATGATGTGAGGTCACTTCTGGCTGAACGGTTAAGCATATTTAGGGAAAAAGGGTTCAGCCTTTACTTTTAGATTTTGGTAAATTGTTTTCTCTTTTAATTAGAGTAGCATTTTGTTTTTAAATTTTAAAAACCGGCATATTTTTTTAAATGCTACTAAAGAACTCGCTAAGAAGAAAATGTTTAGATAGAAATACGAACAAGAAGAAACTAAATGAAATCGATAGATTATATATTCACAGTGTCGAAAGGACGAAATGCGTTACGTGAAAACTGTTTCCTCTTTGTCCTATTTCGGTACCTAAAATATGTCATGATGTATAAAAAGAAAGAGAAAAAGGAAAGGTTTTAATATTAAAAGAGGAAAGAGTAAGGGGTTCTTTATCTCTTTTCTCTCTTCCATTTTTCTTGTGCATAAATAAATAGAATTCCATTTATTTTGTATCATATAATCTGAAGAGCTGGACGTCTGATTCCACGAAATAAACTATCACCTGAATGGATATTTAATGATTCTGTATTCATTATATATATATATATATATATATATATATATATATATATATATATATATTGTGTGTGTGTGTATTTAGGCAGCATCTTTATTTGCAAAAAACAAACATAGTTTATAAATTCAAGTGCCTTTTGGGAGATTGTATCTCCAACGAATTAAATAATATTTATGTTGGCCACACCACAAACTCGCTTTCACGACGCTTGACACTACATTTGAATGAAAACTCTAACATTTTTATGCATTTAAAACAACATGCCTGCCCGCACACACAATTCCGTAAAATACTTGTCGAAAACACAATTATACTTCGACATGAAAACAATAGACAAAAACTAAAAATCCTTGAAGCATTATACATCAAACAGTTGAAACCCAACCTAAACAAAATCAATTATGGCATCTCTACAAATATTCTTAAATGTCTATAATTGGTAACAGAAGCCATTGGTTTATACCAACGGCTTCCCATACTTCTACAATTCACTCTCGTGTGGTCATGTGTGACGTCATGAGATACGGTGCGATATTCGCTTCTAGCGTCTTATATGCACGAGTTTATCGTTGCTTAGAAATCATCTATGTAAACAATGACAGACTATCATCACTGTCGTGTCCGTATATTGCTTAATATGTTGTAATTGACATCTATGATAATGGCTTATGTAAGCCGAAAGCTTAGATTATATTAAAAAAAGATGGATCAATATTATATAATTATATATATATATATATATATATATATATATATATCGATCAGTTGGTATATAATCCGGGTAGATCCTAGTAATATTAATTATTAAAACTGATCCACAGAGAGATCGATGTTTTTATTTTAACAGAGCATATGTATTTTTTACAGTAAAAACCAAAAATTAATCTCAACGGCTTGCAATAGACTATATCGATGTTGAGTTAATTTTTCGTTTTTTGCTGTAATATATATATATATATATATATATATATATATATATATATATATATACCGGTGTAACAATAAAATTTTCCAAATCGGATAACGGGAAAATTGTCCAATTGCTAGATTAAGCTCTGAACCGAAAGATGTTTAAAGATATCTTACTGGAATTTCCCTGAAGTTTTTATAACACCATTGGACTCAAATTTGAGTAATAAGAATATGTAGTTACTCTCTAAGCTTAACAGAAGCACCGTGATGAAATTGATCATAAACAAAAATGGCATGTTCATGAAATAAAAAAGCAGTGAAATAAAATTAATATATATATATATATATATATATATATATATATATATATATATATATATATACTATTTACATTATTCGACTATTGCCCTCATCTTTGCTGACATGTTTATTACAACGTTTCAGCCGTTGTACGCTCCGGCCTTCTTCAGGTGGTTGGAATGTCGAATTCGCTCGTTGGGGTAGACTGTTCTAGTTCCATATGCTATGTCTAGTCGATGTCATTTATTAGTTACCTCCTGTTCTCCTGTTAATTCACTTCTCCAATTTCTCCTCAAGGGGAGAACTTGGAGAGGGCATGGCACGTGGAACGATTGATCACTGACTTGATGAGGTTAAGATTGCTGTTTTCAGAGAAGCATCGACGCGGGAATCTATTCCACAAAATGGTAGTTCCTTGGGGAAAACGTCTAGGTCAAAATTTATCCTTACATTTAGAATACGGGGGAAATGAAGGTGTTTCAACTTCGTGGAAGTAGCATAGCGTATAAACGCTAGAAATGTATAAAATGCGGAATGGATCTAATCCGTACTTTTGCTATGGAAATAGCGATAGAATAGCGAGTCAATATTGATTGGCAACAAGAGTCAAATGGACCTAAACTCGTAGACCAGGTTCTTGAACACGACTTTATAGAGATACTCGCTAGGATCAACGCAATGAAAGAACAGCGAAGGCGACTCACACAGCGTCCACAAGAGAGAAAAATTATGCCCTGTAAATATTAATGGAAATTTTAGCCGTTTCCTTCGTCAATCATTGGCCGAACAGACAATTCTTTTTAAGACTGAAATATATAAAATCTTTCTATTAAAACATTTCTCAGATAAATGGGTTTTCAAGTGTAAGTGTTATCGCTCTTTCTACTGGTGGGCGTTTCCTTCCCAATCTTTTTTGTTTGTGTGGAACATCAACACCTTCATTACATCATTATTTCCTTTCCTAGTTATATGTGATAAGCATTTTAGTTGTTGCTGTTGTTGAAAATCCTCAAAGAATGTGGTTTCTTTTGGACATACGAAGTACTAACATATGCAGTCATGTTTAATTGGAAAAACTCGAAAAAAGTAAATTATAACGTAATTATTCGTTTTGTTTCAATTAATTTGCACAATACATTCGCTAAAGCCATGATATCGAGCACTTTAACTCATAAATATAGCATACCTTAAAACTATATTTTTATCATTCATATATATATACACACACTACACACAATATATATGTACATACGCTTGTATACACAAGTAAATGCAATAATAACAATCAACAACAAAGTAACCACTAACCACAAACCACAAAACTGCATTCAGATCCACAATTATTTCCAGTCAATAGAATAAGGACACATGGCACAGTGGATAAAGGCGTTGGTTAGATCTAGTGACAGAACCCAAAGAGTGTGAGTTCAATAGCCGGTTAAGGCAGTGGAGAACTTAGAGAGGGGAATTAACAGGAGATAACTGATAAGTGACATCCATTAAACATGGCACGTGGAACTAGATCAGTTTACCCTAGAGATCGAAATAAAGGGTTCAGTTCTACATTCTAATCACCTGAAGAAGACCGGGGCGTACAACGGCCGAAACGTTGCGATAAATATGGCGACAAAGATGAGGACAATAGTCCGAATAATGTAAATAGTGTACATAATATCTCATCTCAGAAATATAGACAGAAACTATATTTTTATCATATGTATATATATAATTTCTTTAAGGTACTGACTGTCATCCAGTGCTTGGCAGTTTCATTATGATGCTGACTACAAGGTATCCCATGCCTGGTATTTTTTTATTCATTTTTATCTGCGGTCGCCAATAGCGAGTTTTTTTATTGATACTTTTAGTGATAAATCAATGTGAAGGCTTCAGTTGACGCTATAAATCAACACATTAAAATGTTTTATTGCCAAAGTTAGCTATTATAACGTTAGGGTTTAAAGTCAGATCCCCTAAATGACCACTGGCAGTCAACGTTTTAAATAAAAATATTGTTGAAAGTGGTGTTTTTTATTATTTTTAATTTTATTTCTTGCTAACTTGAGA